AAATCTCTCCTCTTCCCTTGCTGGATGGGTGAAAGAGAAGAGGTGTGGGGGGCATGGCAGTGCAGGGTGACACCAAGAAGAAGGACTGGCATTTTGTTTACTACTTGCATTTGCTGCTTATCTGCAAGCAGTTTGCCGAGTCCAAGGGGCTCGTTAAGCCACCCAGAGGTCCCATTGCCACTCTCGAATTTGGACTTGAAGAGGCTGAGGTACACACAGCCCAGTTAAGCATGTAGCACTTTAATCAGATAAGGATTAAGGGCAAACAAAGACAAAAATAGTACCTTTACTGATTTATGGCAGATAATTAAATCAGACTTAACTGCACAGGGAGAGAAAGGATATGATAAGTTTATAAAAGAGAGGACCTTAAATTCTGCAACATTAAGTTAATGCTCTGCATCAACAAAGGGAAGAAAGCTCCTGACGGGGTGATATGGCCGCATCAGGATAGTTAGTAGCTATTAACAAAGATCACACAGGGCGGACGATAACTATCCATAGCCATTTGAGCAAAATAAGCTCACATATATCAAAGAGTTGGATGAGAGTTTCTTTCAACTGGCTGCATAAAATACAAAATTTTTCAACACAGAAAGGCAACTTTTTTTTTTTTTTTTGCTAGTGGAGTTCTCACTGAATATCCCTGTTGCCAATTTTAACTGATATTCCACTGAAGTTATTAATAAAATTTCAGAACATACCACTAGTTATATATATGTATGGTATATATATATATATATATATATATATATATATGGTATATATGAAACACACACACACACACACACACACACTCACACACACAGAAAGCTATTTCCCCAGCTTTTATTCTGGAGAGAGCTCATGACAACCTTCCTGCCTGAAAATTCAACTTCCCTGATCTTCTTTACTCATCGATCAACAAAATGCATCTACACATATATACTAATCACCCAGAATGTAAATAATATATTTAATGTGTGTTCTTACTCAGTGTTTATTTCATAAGCAACTGTGATGATCAGGGTCCTTAGGTTGCAGACAACAGAAGATGACTTTGGACAATTTAAGAAGGGAAATTTACCAGGAAATCAGCACATCCACTGGAAAGCTGAGAATCAGGCTTGGTAAAGTCATTACCTAAGGCTGCTCTGGGGGTTGGGAGTGCTTTCAGACAAGGAACAATCATGTCCAGGCACCATGGGGGAGAACTATGGACTTCCAATGGCTTCTTCTCTCTCAGTGTCTCTCACATAAGATGCAAATCCTGGGCTTCTGGCTTCTCCAAGGAAGTGTGGGGAAAGCTGGTTAATGTGACATTCTCAGTGGGATGCAGGCACTGGATTTACTGTTCCGCCAATAGAACATAATGGGAAAGAAGTAATTCTCCAAAAGAAAATGTGTGTCCTACAGGAAGGAGATGTGAATACTGAGCTGCCAAAAATATTAAACACACATGCACGTAAATCTCCACTGCAACAGTTTATATTTGTGTCTTTACGTTTAAGTTATTGTATATGCATACACAAATAAAGCGTGTTATGTTATTACAATACACATTAAAATTATATGCATTTGTGTATATACCTAGGCCTATGCCACTATTAAATAGCATCTTGGAATGGTAGTGCTAAACCAATACTTCACAACCAAAGTTTTATAGACTTGATATAGACTTTGAAGGCTGTGAAACACTTTTTTGATGACTCTCTTCTGAAAATAATTTTCCCTAATCTGAATGATTTCTGTTTTAGAATCTAGTGGAGAAGGGAGGAGGGTAATGCACTGAATCAAAAGCACACCTGTTGATTTATGGGGTGCCTCAATGGTGACTTAGAGATGAACAGATCATTAATTTGATACTTGTTGAAACGGTGTGATGAATGCAAAGAGAGGGAGGGGTTGAAATTACTCTAGGACCACCAGCCTTTCGAAAGGAAAAGGGTCACAAGTGTAGAAGAGTCTGGCTTGTGATACAAAGCAGCTAGTTGGAAAGGAAGAGGGGAATGAATATGTAGTTATCCAGTCTAGGTCACTTTTTGAGACTTCTGAAGCTGAACTAAAAAATCATCAGAATTTCTACTTGACGAGTATTCTCGTCAAATTCTACTTGTCTTGGGTTTGTTTCTAGAAATAGTTGTCACTTAGCTATATTTATGGATAAACATCGTGATCCAATTCAATATAGATACGATTTGATTAAAAAGTGGGGTAATCACATTTAATTCGTATACAAATACAGAGAAGCCTAACTTTTTTTTAGGGTGATTTCTATTGAAACATATTCTCGTAATTTGAAAACCCTGATGTTTGTTTTGTTTGTTTTTTGTTTTTGTTTTTTTTGGAAACACTGACGTTTATAAGAAAAGACAAATTCTAAGTTGTTACATTTTGAATCCTGAGTTTCTGTTAATGGCTTGACCTATAATTACTGATATACATTCACTGCAAACTAAGTGCTTTCGGTAGAGTTAGATGTTATTAACTTGAGTGCACTGGAAGAAATGTTCTTTTCTTTAGGTGATTTCTTTTCATTTTTTTGTTCTTTTTAGAAAATATTTATTTTGAGAGAAAGAGAAAAAGAGAAAGAGAGCATGCACAGCAGGGGGAAGGGCAGAGAGAATGGAGAAAGAGAATCCTAAGCAGGCTTCAAACTCTCAGGGTGGGGCCTAACTCTGGGCTTGATCTCAGAAACCATGAGATCATTACCTGAGCTGAAATGGAGTCAGATGCTCAACAAACTGAGCCACTCAGGCTTCCCTGGGTAATTTCCTTAAAAATTTTTTTTTCTAATGTTTTATTTATTTCTGAGAGAGAGAGAGAGAGAGAGAGAGAGAGCAGGAGAGTGTCAGAGAGAGAGGGGGACACAGACTTTGAAACAGGCTCCAGGCTCTGAGCTGGCTGTCAACACAGAGCCCAATGCGGGGCTCAAACCCACAAACCATGAGATCATGACCTAAGCCAAAGTCAGATGCTTAACCGACTGAGCCACCCAGGTGCCCCAGGTAATTTCCTTTTAAATCCAACCAAGGAGTGCCTGGGTTGCTCTGTGGGTTAAGCATTCAGCTTCAACTCAGGTCATGATCTCATGGTTTGTGGGATCCAGCCCTATATCCAGCTCTGTGTTGACAGCTTGGAGCCTGGAACCTGCTTCAGATTCTGTGTCTCTCTCCTCCTCTGCCTTTTCCCCACTCAAACTCTGTCTCTCTCTCAAAAATAAATAAACATTTAAAAAAATAAGTAAGTAAATAAATAAATAAATCCTATCAAGATATGACTTTATTTTTTCACAACTCTGCCATGTTGGGGTTCAGAGGTTGGTTTCTTTTGTTTTCCTTAGCTCTCCAATGTTGGGTGATACTTTATTACCTCTGAGGCTGACTGAGTATGTAAGAATTACCAGATGGTCAGCCCTGTAGACCAGCTTTGCCTTTACTGATAGGGGGCTACAGGAGCTTGTCCACCACTGTAAAACTAAAGCAGGAAATGGATGGTAATAGAATTGATGTCCGAGGTGAAAAGTCAACAGATTCTACATTACTATAATTTTCTTAATGAAAGTGTCTTTAACCATGGCATTGGCATAAAAATAGCAGCAAGGCATATTATAGAAATGTGAGAATCTCAAACAAAATCTTAAGCAAGGGCACTTAATGTGGAAATAATAGTTTCCTGGGGCCTGGAGGAGGTCTGATGGAGAAACTGCTGGGTCAGAAGACCTAGATCATAAAAAAGAACTTGTATTAGGGAAAGATGAGCTGGGATACTATCCCTTGGGGCAAGGTGGGCTGGGCTTCATTCTTGGAGTTTCCTCCCGTTATCTTACTCCCTCTGTGTTCCCTCCCACCCCTCCACAATCTCTTAGAAACTTTTGTCTATGGGGGTAGTTGCTGTAACTGGGTTTTCTTCTATTATTCTGACAAAATCTCCCTGGAGTAAGCTAATATTATCAGCATTTTACAGATGAGAGAACATATGTTGCTGGCCTACAATTATACAGAAAATAGCAAAGCAGAGATTAGAAAATTGTTCTGTGTTTATTTACCTAAAAAAGTTCACGACGTTCATGTGATCAATACTGGAGTAAGTGGTGCGAAGGTTCAGAAATACCTGCAGAATTGCAGAAGGACAATTGCATCCCCACCCCAAGAATTTCTTCTTCTTCTTCCCTCCTTCTCCTCCTCCTCCTTCTCCTCCTCCTCCTCCTCCTCCTCCTTCTTCTTCTTCTGACAAAAATTTCAGAGGGCAACTTCTCAATTCTCTCAGAAAACCAGAAAGAAAAAAATGTCTCCTCCTCTCCCTGGAACATTACTAAAAAATGGGCTTTCATACCTCAACCCAGAGACAGTGGAAAATTGGATACTGCCTTGGGGCTTCCATAGTTTGGTAGGTCCTATATTCACCGTGGAGAGAGGTCTTTGGAGTCAGGTCACTGCAGCAAGCAGTGGCAGGACCGGTGGCCACCAGCAGATGCTAAGACAGCCTTGCGGTGTGTTCCTGTATGAAGAGCAGCACCTGATGGCTTCTCTCTCTCACCCTCAAGTCACGAGGCCAAGATGAGGGTTGGCGGAAGGCAGTGTTCTCATGACATGTCCTTCAGGACATATGTTGGCAGCCTTCTTGGAATCCTTATTCTTCTGTTTCTTTCCTTCTTATTTAAAAAAATTTTTTTAAATGTTTATTTTTGAAAGAGAGAGACAGAGTATGAGTGGGGGAGGGGCAGAGAGAGGGAGACACAGAATCTGAAGCAGGCTCCAGGCTCTGAGCAGTCAGCACAGAGATCATGACCTGAGCTTAAGTCGGATGCTCAATGGACTGAGCCACCCAGCCCACCCCTCTCATCCCCCAATTATTTCTTTTATCTGTATTGCTTGTCACAGTCTCGGGTAGGTAAAAGCAGAAGTTCACTTTGTAATATTAGATCTCAGAGAGGAGGGATTATGAGAAACGCTTGATGTGTTATACTGATTCAGTGACTGATGTGTTTTCTATTTCTATTTCCATTGGAGATGTGGCTTCAACAAGTCACAGGTGTCAACACCTCAGGGATCTCATCCATCTTCCAGATCTTGACAGGATGTTTGGAAGGTTAGGTGAGTTAAGTAAAGCTGCTGTGCGCAGGAGAAACTGAGTCTGTATTGGGTACTATAATCCCAGGTCTTTCAGGCAAGGTCTGAATTCTGCCTTTTGGAGTTACATGTTAGTGTTATTTGTGTAAATGTCAATGTAAAAATGTGTAGACAGAGCACCTCAGTGTTGGGAACTCAGGTCCGTGGTTTTCATAGTTGGTCATTACCCAAGTCTCTCCCAGTTTGTGTGATTGCCACAAAATCACTTAAAAGTGGTATCTTGCATCACTTACCCACCTAGGGCTTAATGAATTGAAAGTTTTACTGCGTAGAAAATAATCAGGTGTTAAAAGAAGCACAAAATGTACTATCATTTTCTGAAGGTTAATAGGCTTTTTCTATTTCTGCTTTTTCCTGCACAGCATTGCCATCTAACATGAAGCTGCTTCTCCCGATGAAGCAGAGATTGAAATGTCACACCAGCATGATCAATTAGATGATGTAGAAGTGAGACATTTGCTACCTGACCTTAATCCACAGGGCAAGAATGGCTGAGTGGAGAAGACTGAATACAGAGAGACTCAGAGGCAGAGGAAATCAGCACAGTATAGTTTACACAGACAAAGCAGCGTAATTGTTGATTCATGACGAAAAGGACGTCCTCGGGTTAAAGACTTCTTATGGTGTGTACTGGCTCGCCTGCTCGTTCAGTTTGGAGTGAGTACAAAATAAACATAAGCACCTTTCGCAAAAGAAATATGGTAGAAAAGGAAGCAGTTAAGTTTTTGCAAAAAGTCTAGATTCTGTATCACAGAACTTGCTTAACCAAACTGACAAGGAGAGAGAGATGCAAACTGTATGCGGGCTGTCAGATGCTCTGTGAAGAAGACAGTGGGGGCTCTGACTTAGGGACCATGAGAGCTGTCTTCCTCTGTTTAAAGCCCTGTCACTGGAAGGAGGACTGGACACACCGTGGTGGGAACGGGTTCCCCGTACTGGGAACTTGGCAGAGGTCACCAGAGCAGCCCCTGCCCAGCTCCCCCGTGCTGGATCAATGGCTAGCCATGGTTGTAAAGGGAGTCTTGCATTAAATGAGATGACTTCAATCACGCCCTAATATGCCTGCTCCGAAGCTTTACAGCCCCTAGGAGACGTCTAAAATGGTTTTGAAGCGTGTTCAGGAGCAGAACCGAACGAACTTTGGAGCTGCTTAGGCTGTGATAGAATTAGCCCTTCTCAGCAGCATGTGTGCTCACCGTAGGCCTGGGCATGGTGGCTGGACTGTTTTGATTATGGACAGCTGGTGTCAGCTAAGGGCTTTATCAGATTAGTCATGCCGGGTAACAATGATATGAAGTGTTTCTCCCTAGGTGATTAGTTGATATCTCTTACGTTTACTCTTTCAGTTTTATATTTGTTTTTCTTTTCCACTTAAGCACAACTTAATGTGCGAGGGTTGTGGTTGGGAATCCATTTCCCCAAATAAGCCACTATTTTTTTCCTAGGATCCATTTGGTTGCTTCTATTTATGGAGCTCGATTGTGAGGTATCAATTCATCATAGCAGTGGAAAACCAGCAGGAGGTTCAGAGGAAAGCCGTGGAAAAGATGAGGATGAGGAAAATAAAATGCAAACAAGTATCCTGGGGAGGTGAGGTTGGAGATAATGTTTACGCTTGTTTGCATGTCACTCTTCCTGGCATAGCTACTCAAAGTAGTGTGTGTTGATTAACTTGTGGACAACTGGCTGTGGCTTCTAGCTGATGAAGGCTCATGGGGAGGATGTCTTCTGTTGAGACATGGGTGTGAGCTTCAGGATGGTCACACAGTAGGTACCCCATATTCAACACATATTCATTGTATTAAATTGAATTCAATGGTAGTTTCAATACAGGCATCCTGCTGATAGTAAAGATCATTAAACTTTAAAATGTGTTCCCAAGGAACACTGTGGCATCTTCATTTGAGAACATCTTTGAAATTGGATGGCTAATTATCTGTTTAGAATAAAAGCAGAGAAATAGTTCCGAGTACTTCATAAGGACTCGTACAGTTCTCGATTTCAGTTGTGTGCTTTGCTTGTGTGTAAGCAAAGCACTGACTCCGTAACTCAGGGGTGAAATAACACATGCATGACTAGGTAGAAGATGACTAGGTAGAAAGTATCTTCTTATTTGAAATCATCATTTTCCTCTAATCAAAAAGTATAAGATCGTCCTGGTTCTGCACTATCAAATTTCTTGATAAAATATTATCACGTATGTTCCTGAGAGTGCCCAACACGTATTGCAAATTTACCCTTGTCTCTGGGAGAAATCGATTCTGGGGAACAAAGGAGAGAATAAAATTTTGACTTCTCTGTAAACAGTAGCTGCTGGAGGACATACTGTTGCAGAACAAATAGTGCCAGTAAGAGTTAATAGTTTCAAGCTGGAGGATGATTATAATGGTGCCATTGGAGAAATTTTCTGTTCTTCTTTTTCTGGTTGATGAATACTATGGTAGACATTTCAGAAAAGTTCACTTCTCCAGGATCCATGATCTCTCTTTTCCTACTACCTTCACTTTCAGCCACAAAGTTTAGGTGACATTGACTCTACCTCCAGCCTAATCAGGTGGCTCTGATAGGCTTAGTCTAATCGCCATATCGCAGTCTCCCTGTCCACATGGGAAGAGCATGTGACACAATCAGGCCAATGAGAGTGTGAATTCCAGAAGAGACTTCCTTTGGATGGTGTGGGGAGGAGGTGTGAGGCTTGACACTGCTGCCGCCACTTGCTCCTAGGAGGGAGAGTCCACCAGATCCAGTGAGATGAAGCTTATTAGCTCTCTCTTCTTTAGTTTCCTCATCTTTAAAATTTTTTAAATGTTTATTTATTTTTGAAGGAGAGAGAGACAGACAGAGCATGAACCGGGGAGGGGCAGAGAGAGAGGGAGACACAGAATCTGAAGCAGGCTCCAGGCGCTGAGCTGTCAGCACAGAGCCTAATGTGGGACTTGAACTCATGAACTGTGAGATCATGACCTGAGCTGAAGTCGGACGCTTAACCGACTGAGCCACCCAGGTGCCCCTAATTTCCTCATCTTTAAAATGGAGACGATAATAATACTTTCCTGTAGGTTTGTTGTGAAATTAAGTTGCTGAACTTATGTAAAATGCTTAGAATAGTAAGCATTCAATAAATGATACTTATTAGTAGATATACTGTATTTCCTCTATGTTAAGAAAAAAGTATCATTTCCATCATTTCCCCTCTCTGAGCTCAATAATGTTTTGGGTTTGTGCTGTTTGGTTAACTATATTTCATTTCTTAAACTATTTTACTTTCTATTGTCTCTACATTTAAGCAATTGCCTAAAAACTTTCATAGAATTTCAGATTTTCCACGAAATCGGGTTTCCAGTAATACATTGTCCATGTCTGCACTTAAATAGTGAAAGCTCTGGGACTGGTCTCTAACCTGAGAGGCATCTCTGGACTTCTCATGCCTCCTGCACACCTGAATCTTCTGCAGCTCTGTCTGGGAGTAGCTTTGCAGAGAAGAGTTGAGGCTGAGAGGAAAGATGGAGAGGAAGGGCTGTGATACTGTTTTCCAGCAGCTCCCACAGACTGGATGTGTTTTCAGATGGTAACTAAACTGGGGGCATCTTCGGAGCTTCAGGAGCCGAGCTAGTAAAGGTCTGCATGTGCCTGGGTCTGGGAGGTCAAAAGGTGCCACACAAAGAGGATACTGTGCTATTCCTGCTGTCCCAGTGGCCTTTCTTCCTTTAATGTCCTGTTGATTTGTTTATTATTTTAAAGATAAGAAGATTAACAGAGATAGGGGAAAATGGTTCGAATCCATTGTAGAAGAGATAATACATTCTTCTTTGAAAAGGAACTATTTCATTTTAATAAGAAATTTGTCAAGTTTTTGGTTAAATTTGACAGAACAAAGGCATCTGATATTTATAGATGTTCTTGTAGTGCTTTGGGAGAGACAGACAGGAACCGTGTGCAGATATGCACATTTAAAACAAAAGGGGTCTACAATATAGGTCAGCTGTGGGCAGAGATGTGGGATGCCAGAAGGTAAGACCAGAAGGGGAACTTTCATGTTTTTATCCTATGTTCACCTATATTGTTTGAATTTTAGATTATGGTGAATTTATGTATTACTTCCATAATTTCAAGAAATTAATGTAAAAAAAAAAGAGAAATTAACTAACATGTCAGCAATCTCATCCAAGTTAAAGGTTGTATTTTCTATGACTAGTTGTTCAGATTCAGGTTATTGAAGTCATTGCTGGTGTTTATCCTTGAGTCACTTAATAATTCAGGTGAATTCAGACTCCATTATACTTAAATTTGGAGTCTACAGTGAACTCCTTGTCTGTGTTTGGGACATTATATAATTGATGTTTCTGAAAGACTTCCTTACTGATCTCTTTTCTGAACCCCTTCACCCCCATTTTCACTACTGTCGATATTTGGGCTGTATTTCCATCTGTAAATGTAAATAGTCATCACGAGTGTGAGGTTACTGCAAAGTTTTGCTCTTTGAGGCAAATGACTCTCAGGCAAAATAGAGAGATTTGTTTTGCCTGAGAGATTTGTTCTGAGATAAAACAGCACATATTTTTTGCATATTTACGACTCTTGGCTTTCACCACTTCCTGGTGAATGAAAATCATTGGCCTCATGAGCAGAACTTTGCAGTAACCTCACACTCATGGTGACTGGAACTTCTCCTGCCATTAGATCCGGCAGCTCATGAAAAGCAGAAATTTCAAGTGAGGTGGGCCCTTGGGTCATCCAGCTCAACCTTTGAGTTTATATATGGGGAGAAGTTGGCCCAGAATGCTGAGGGATTTCCACGGTCCTTGCATTCCTATTAGAGGCAGGATGGGGACTGGAAGCCGGTTCCTCGGGCTCATTTTGCTTCCTGACACATGATGTGTTGAGAAGTCACCCAGAAGTCAGCTTGCTCACTGCATGCACATTCTGGATGCTACAGAATGGAGCCATGTGGGTGGAACGTGGGGAATCCGGATGATGGGGGGGTTAGTACAGTAGAATATAGTGCAGAAAGTCAATTCAAAGACATACACTTAAGACACTTATGAATCAACAATAAAAATACAGAGTTAAGCTGAGGAATAGTTTACACCTGCATAACAGTTTGAAAAGATTATTTTCTTTCTGCTTATAAAAGTAATACATGGTCAATTTAGTAAATTTTTGAAAGCATAAGGAAGGAAATTAAAATTACTTTTAACTACATTGTCAGGAAATGATCAAGATTAATATTGTGGGGGTGCCTGGGCAGCTCAATCGGTTGAGTGTTCGCCTTTCAGCTCAGGTCATGATCTCATGGTTCCGGTTTGAGCACAGCGCCCACTTTGGATCCTCTGTCTCCCTCTCTCTCTGCCCTTCCCCTGCTCACGCTCTCTCTAAACTAATTAAACATTTTAAAATAAAAATAAATAAGCCAACACTTAAAGAAATAGATTACTATTGTGGAATTATACACACGTGCCTACATGTATAATCAAATAAGATCATGCTGCATACATAATTTTGTAGCCTGTTGTTTTTTTTTTTTTTGACTTACCATTATATATGAGCATTTCCTCATGTCACTGAATGTTCTGCAAAAAACTTGGTTCTTAGATAACTAACTAATATTCTCAGGTCATTCTTTTTGATTTTTATTCTTTTAAGTGACGAACTGTTAGGACAGGATGAGGCAGAATAAATCCTGATACAGAATTAAAAGACGGGGTGGGAAGGTTTGGCACGATGATCTGAGACGTCAGCAGGAAAGGAACAGTGACAATGGCAGTCAGTCTCCTGTCAGCAGCAACATGAGGTTGCTGAGAGGCAGGTGACAGAAAGTCAATTCAAAGACATACACTTACAACAGTGTAATATTTTTTTTTTAAATTTTGTCCTCTGTATTGGCATAAATTTGTAATGCAAACCACAGACTGGCCCTTCCAGGCCACCACGAGACAGAGCCCTCATCTCCCAGGTGGGGGGGCGCAGGTGCATAACTGACTCCTCAGAATTCAGACTTTGATTATCCAGCCCGTCCCCTTGGACACACGGCCTTCAGATCACCACTGTTTATTACTTTTCTACCAAGAAGCAGGGCCATTAAAGGAGGCAGAGGTAAAGTTTAAAAGTGTCCACTTTGTTTCTTGTTAATCAGTTCTGCTAAAAGGTGTGATGAAAAATGAGGTCAAATATTTGAAGTGCTGGCCTTCATCTACTTTATCAGTTCTGTGCTGCCATAGATAATCCAAGAAATTTGCAGAGCAAGGAGCACCAACATAACCTCAAAGATGCAGGTCAAATTCAGTATCAAGGCCGGTTTATCACTTTGCTCTGGGGTCAGCTTGGCCAGTTAGGTCAGAGAGGACCCCACTTCGGGAAGGGTGGAGTGAATGGGGCCAGGAAACAGATGACATCCAGCCTGCCTCCAGGGGCTCTGGCTGCAATAATGCCATTCCTCCCCTTCTTCCCCACTTTTTCAGATTCCTGGTATGTTGATCATTAAAGAAGCTAATTATACCTATACCTCTGTTCCAGTGAGTTGAACAGAATTAAGGTAGGGAGCATGGTACTTCATGTGAAAAGAGAGTTTATGTA